CATCACCAACAATTTGAATCATGCCAGACAATAGACTGGCAGTCAGAACACCTATTTTAGCAAGGGTGTTATGTATTCCCTGTAACCAGCCCCACGTTACAATCTGACTGCAATTATTTGGGCCAGAGGAAATTTCAAAGGCATCCTCATTTAAACATGTTACAGTAACCCAAACAGCCTGTGACTAAGGCATATATCATTTGGCCAGATCATGGCAAATATTATAATTCATTTAAAATTTAAATTTCAAATGGATTTTCCTTATTACAAAAGAACTGGGGGTTCTGCAGAAAAGTACTGAAGAAAAAACTCTCGGGTATGCCATCACCCGGGAGCCAGCATGGTGTAGTGGTATCAGCACTATGACTCTGGAGACCAGAGTTCAAATCCCTGCTCATCCATGAAAGTCCATTGGGTGACCTTGGGCAAATCACAGTCTCTCTACCTCAGAGGAAGGCAAAGGCAAATTCCTTCTGAACAAATCTTGCCAAGAAAACCCCATGATTGGTTTAGAAATAACTTGAAGGCAGCAGCATCAACAACAACAATGCCATTACCTAATTCATCAATATTTCTGATTATTTTTCTTAGTATTCTCTGCTTCACTCTAACAAGATGACCCAAAAGATCCTGCTTTCATTGAGACTGAGAAATCTTTCAGTTGTGTTACATTTGATGATAATTTCTGGAAGATCACTATCAAATCCACATAACATAAGCAACTTTTATACTCAACATGTATGAGCTCAGTGTTGTTCTTTGTCCTACTTTCCAAATTATAATTAAAACACATATCCAAAGTTCATTACAAATTTCTTTCTGGTCTGAAATAGAAAGGCAAGTCAACATAAAATAATTTCTCGGTTCCCAAAACTGTTCCAAACATATTGCTACATTTGACGCATCCTCAACTTGCAGGCAAAGGATGGTTGTTGTTGTTTTACCGCCCTCCAAATGAACATCCTGGAAAATCACTGCAATCTTAGTGGCTGCAATTCTTCTCTTACTTCCTTTACATTTGTTTCCTAAATAAGCCTTCTTTGTGTTACCAATAGATCATTCTTCTGACCTAAACTAATCTTCTAGGCTCCTTCTCTCAACTCACAGTGCACCCTTATCACTGATCCGGTCTAAATCACAGTTCCTTGTGACTGCATTTTCATCTCTTCAGAGACTCAACATACTCATCACAGGTTTATGAACACTTATGGCAGCATTTTAACATCACAAGCCTGTCTAGTTTGCACAAATGCCCATGCCGAACTTAGTCCAGAACCTTGAAAAGTTGCTTCTAGATACTAGCTGGGGGATTCTGAGAACTGATGCCCAAAAAGTAACTATTCTATGCTCTGGTACATCCAACCATGTGAAAGATATGCAGGAGGCCTTGGGAGTTCTTCTGTGCACTGCCCCAACTCCAACTTTCCCACATTGATCTTGCACATTATGGGATGTGGGAATCTAAGTCCTTCCCCCATTAGGAAATGTGAGTTATCATTTCTCAGGTCTTCCAATAGATTTTTTCCTTCTATTTGCTTAATCAAATGTGTGAAAAAAGCTTCCTTCTCAACTTCAACAAAGAAAACGAGCTTCATTGTGGGGGCGCCATGAGTGTCCTCACTGTCCCTATACAATTAATCCTTCACATGTTGAGCTGAATTCAAGCACAGAGCTATACTGAACTTTCACAATATTTAGATGTCTTTCACACTACAATTATAACACTTTATAATTGAACCCATATCACTTTAACGATTGATCGTATGGAATCATGGGTCTGTAGTTTGGTAAATCACTAAAGCTCTCTAACTAAGAATTCTAAATATGTCACAAAACTACAAATTCCAGGATTCCATAGGAAGGAGCCATGACAGTTAATGTGGTATCATAGTGCTATAATTGTGTAGTGTGGGAGTTTTCATAGTCTTTCTGTATCTCAAAATCTGTGTCACAGATTTTCTGTGAAGGATGTCAAGCCCTATCTACTCTAGAAAACAAGTCCCTTCACCATGATTCGCTATGTTCTACTGCCATGTTTGACCCTTCAGAGCATTGTAAACCGCTTGAAAGTGCTGTGGTGAATTGTTTAAAAACACAAAATTAAGGGTATGAAAGATTATTCTGAGTGTCCTGATGAAGCAACAACAAATTAGAATGGATAAATTGGGCAAAATTTACAATGAAATTGGACAAAATTTGCAAAGACACAAATACAACATCAATGAATGTTTTAAGCACAAAATGAATCAAGAAATCAGAACCCAAAAAAGGGCTTCCTGAGTATTGTAATTTATCTGTACTCTACTGAATAAATTTACAGATTTGTTTCCAACACTGTAGACTAAGAATATAAATCTTTGCTTATTTTGTTCTTCCATGTGAGAATGAAAAATTTCCACGGTTTTGTGACTTTTTGGTGAAAATTTCATGAAGAATTTTTTAGGACAAAACATTGAGTTTTGAGGAAAAAGTTATATTTGTCACAAAATTGTTTTTTTCTGCAAAATACAATGTTTTATGCACAATCTAACATTGTTCTCATGAACAGTAAAAAAACAAAAAACCTTGCAGCAGCTGACAATTTTTTAGGTTTTACCAAAGATAACAAAATTTGCACATGTTGTCTCTACATGTGCATTGTAAGCCAATGGGCAACATGTGACTCCCTAGATAATGTAGGATTCCAAGGTGTAACAGGTCATTGGCCCCTATAAGAATTCTGCACCACCAAATGAAATTTTCCTTCAGTCATATGTCTAGCACTGCTGTAAATTGAAATTTCATCCAATAATTTAGAAATTTAATTTAGGCATCCAAAGAAAAGAGGCCGACAAAGTTACCGAGTGAATGAGCAAATGGAACATATAAAAATTCTAGGTGTGAATAATTTTCGTGTCTCACTCTGTACAATGCTAGAAATTTGGGGACTGCAGAAAAAATTCATGGGCAAGCAATTTTGTCCCTACATAGCATTGGCCCTGGACTACAACTTTCATTAGACCCAGCTGGCATGGTCAGTGTGAATCAGAAATACAGTCCAGTAATGTATGGAGAGCCACGAATTGCCCATTCCTGCTGCAAGTACTTGCAATATACTACTATCTTATTACTATCTAATAGTTGTCACTTTCTAGGATGGGATTAGCTATGGGATTGAGTCTGATTAGGGCAAATACAATCAATTAATTATTAATGGGAAGAGCTATTTAATAGATTGAGTTTTCAGATTCACACACAGATGACTGGAAGTTGGTGGGGAAGTTGATGGTACAGAACCAGGGGGAAATGAGATTGGAAATACAGCCTGGTATGCAGCATTTTGCTAGCTACCACATTCTGCCTATCAGTATTGTTAACACAGTTCCATAAAATGTCTTTGTTTCCTATGAGGAATGTGTTTCTGCACATTTTATACTGTAGTCAAGCTGAGAGTTCACACCTTCCTTTAGGAAAAACGAAAAATTTAACTTTCACTGCCTTTTCTATGGGTGTTTCATTGGCTAATAAAATCCAGTGTGAATTAGACTCATGCATACATTTCAACTTTGTTGATTTCTTTTTGTTAATTAGCCGCTTTGCACAATGTGTTAAAGGCATAGAAAGAAGTCTTTCTGTACTAGTCTGCTTGTATTTCCTCCCATTTATTGTTTAAAGCGAAGCATACCATGACATTATCCCAAGAGTTTCTTGGGATAATTTCTCTCCTCTTTCATATGCAGCAGAACCCAAAACATATTTCCTTATACATACACATATTTCACATCACTGAACATAATGGGACTAATTTTCAGATACATGTCCATAGGAGTACCTTCTTAATGCTTGCTAAAGTGTTAACCTTTATTAGGATCTGCAATACATACTATGGATAGTATAGAGGCTGTATTACTTGTTATTCCATGCTGTCCTAATGAAAGTGTGAAATCTAGGGATGTTAGAAGCGGCAAGAAAGCGGTATGGAATCAATCCAAAACTATACCGGCATAGACCCCACAAGACGGAAATTGCTATCAGACGCAACTAGCATCATTGCGCAATGAACGAAAGCAGCATCATTCCGGTATCATTCTGGCCGCACAAATGTAATTCCCCAGGAAACCGGCATTCAAAAGAACAGGGATGATGCCGCATTGGGACGGGGATGGGACGGGGTTCTCTGCGACATCATGTGAACACACGGGAAAAGGAACCGCAATGGGACGGGGATGGGACGGGGTTCTGTGCGACGTCATGTGAACACACGGGGGGGAAACGCAATGGGACGGGGATGGGACGGGGTTCTGTCTGCTTTAGACCCCGTGTGATAAGGTCCTAGGACTGTAGCTATGGGAGGGGAGCAAAATGATAATATCCCCCTCCCCCGAAAGAAAGAATTCTACCTCCTCAAATAAAATTTCCCTTCAGTCCCCAAATTTCTAGCATTTCAGTAACTGAAAACTTCAGTTTGAGCATTTAGAAATACAGTTTTGGCATTCAAAGAAAAGAGACAGGCAGAGTTACCAAGGGAATGCAAACACAACAAACAAGAGTTCTAGGTGTGAACAATTTTCAATGTCTCACTCTCTGCAAGGCTACAAATTTGGGAACTGAAGGAATATTTCATTGAAGGCAGATTCTTATGTGGGGAGCAATGTCCTCATTTTGCCCCTCTCCCATATGCATTCTGGTGGGGGCCTCATTCCATCCCCAACTGATTTCAATAGCACTATTATACCCAGAGGTTGGAAGTAGAGAGTTAAAAGACAAGGAACCACCTCTAACTAGTTGCTTTTATGGAATAACAAGGCTGTGACAAAGCCACATTCAAAATTAACAGAATAAGTAAGACTGAAGTAACCAAAGCCTTTTTTAAAAAGTTATGTTTAAAGGGAATTTTAACAGGGATTTTTCAAGATTTACACCATTCTCCTGTCAACCATAAAGGGTTTTTCGTTCTGTCAAAAAGGAACAGAAAGTAATAGAAAAGAAGTAAGCAATGCAACAAATCACACAATGTTGAGAGCCAGTATGGTTTAGTGGTTTGAGTGTTACACTAGGACTCTGGAGAACAGGGTTTAATTCCCTGCTTGGCTATGGAAACCAACCACTTCTGAACAAATCTTGCCAAGAAAATTTCATGATAGGTCCACCTTGGGGTTGTCATAAGTCAGAAACAACTTGAAGGAACACAACAACAATAATGGATAATGTCAGTGGGCTATTTTTCCAAGCCTGTAATGAGTAACATTGGAAAATGTTTTTAAAAAGTAACTTTCCAAGCTCTGACTTTACCATTGTACCATTTTGCAAACCAACAAAATAAAAATGGCAGAAAAATGTGAAACTACTTATTTATTTATTTATTTTAAAAATTAAAATCCACACACACACACACACACACACACACACACACACATACACACTGTTTTTCTGGAACATAACTGCAGATGTCACCTGATCAAGTTGTGATCCAGAAGTCATTTTGGAAATATGAAACTATAAAATCCAGTTGTAGTAGATTCCACAGCATCTCTAGAATCTGTCACAATAAATGTTTTGATTCTGGCAGCTGGTATGATCTATGGTAAAGTGCTGCCCTGTCTGCCCAAAAAGTAGCTGCTGGTGACAATATATTTAACTGATTTGAACTCTCTTTATAAAATAATCCACCAACTGTGATATACATGGAAAACAACCTAGGGCTACTAGGGAGGAGGTTGAAACATATCTCATATAAAACACATCATTATGCATTAACGAAACTTTCCTTCATCCAAGAATGGTAAAGCAGCTGGAGTTTTACTTCAGGAACCACATAAAGTTTTAATTAAATTCATTAAAAAATCTCTGTCTCTTGGCGACTTGAAGGGGCGGGGCAGATACAAATATTTTAACAATGGCCAAAACACAATCCAGTTTGTCAGAACTAATAACAATACCAACGCCTTTGGTTGTATGGAGACAGTTTGGGGGGAAAGAGTTCAAGAATTACAATGAGTATCATGTTTACTGTATAAAATATAAAATTATTGCAAGATGTGGCTAGCCCCGAAAGGGTCTGCTATTCAGTAAACTGATATAAAGGAGCTATTAATGATCATGGCATACTTTTCAGCTGACATAACTGATCACAAAGGCAAAAGACCATTTGGATACCATTTGTCATAAGCAGAAGGACATGGTAATAAACCTTAATTGTTATTCATAGCCTGTGTCCTGTGGCAAAGATTCATGGGGACTGAACCTTTTATGTTAAGCACAAATCTGCTAGGATGGCATCTTCCGTTATCACTAGGAGCAGAGGTGCCCATTATTTTAAAGCGTCCAGGCCAATGAAGGACCATGCAGTTAAAGCAACCAACAATGACAGAAAACCTTTAGCTCTAGTGCTTCTGAGATTTTTTAAAACATTAATTTGTGTAATTGGTCAAAGATCCATAAAGGTTTAGAATACATAACTGTATGTGTCTGTGCACTTTAACAAATATTGAGAGGATTACTGCAACCAGCCATTATTATAAACATCCATCTGCATCTCATGCCCTCCAACACTTCACAGATGATAATTGGGGCTGTATTCGCACTGCACAAATAATCCAGTTTGACAGCATTTTAACTGCCAAGACTCAATGCTGACAAAAATGCTGAGAGAGATGTTCAGAACAGTAATTTCTTGATGCTCTTTGTAAGCCTGGCCATAGGTGGGCGAAGTCACTAGTATACCTGATCCATAAAAGAATCAGAGAATCATCATCATGACATGGTTGCACAAAAAAAAAATGTCCAACTTTTTAATGTAAAAATCGTATCTCTTTTTATTAGAAGATAAAACCTTGCAAGAACTCTCAATAAGGGGCTGCTTTGATAAAATCTAGTTTATTGCCATATCTGAAACATTAACCTGTGTTTAAGATTGCACAGAGAAGAAATAAACAAAGATGAATTTGGAGAACTACAGTCACCATTTCTCATCTATGGTCAGATTTGACTTCATCATAAGGATTGCTGATACATACCCTCAAACTTTTAACAGATAAATACCACGACACATGTGGCCAAGAAACATCAAATAACAAAAGTTATCAATGAGGAAAACACAGAAGTTAGGGGAAGCTTCAGAAGTTTGCTTTTGCCAATGTCTACAGAGAAAGGCAATATTCCATCTTTTCCTCTCCTCTCCCTCTTCCTTCCCATTGACTAAATTGAGTGTACACTATTTTTACACTTTCATCAGTTTACGGCATTTGAAGAAAGCAGAAGTAAAAAGATGGAAAGTGGAAAGAAGGGGGAGAAACTGGGACATTTTAAAAGCAACTAAGAAAGAGTGACAGAAGTGGATTCATGGAGCTGTCCCTGACAAATCAGAACAGTTGAGGGTATGCTGATAAATCAACTGGAGTTTTTGGAACAATACATTTTGACACAATGGGCCTGAATTCTATTAATAAGTCCTTACCAGACACACTACCAAATCAACTGGATTTACCTACATGTTAACTTATTCAACAATTGAATCAGTGGGTCTATCCCTTACTAAAGCTAACTAACAGAATTCAAGCTAGGGATTTATAAGCGAAAAGGTTCACTATGAGCAGCATTTGGAATCGATGTAAACATGCTAAACTGAAGATGTGTAAGACTCTGATAGTTGACTATATAAATTCAATTAATTGTTGATGCTGGAGTGTGTACTGCACTTTCAAGATTAGGTGTTACTGGATTACATAAATTAAAGATGTACAGCACAGTTGGTTTTTCAGAGTGGTTTTCTGTTTTCCTATTACATGTATACTAATTGTATTTATTTTAAATTCCCGTTATAAAACACTGTTATAAAGAATCCTGAATTTTTAAGTCCTTGTTATAACTGGATTGAATAAAGCTTTAAAGAACCCAAAAATTGTGGGTTCTTTGTATATGATGAAATGTGTGTCAAGTATCAAAGGGAGTCTGCACTTTGGCCATTCCAGTTCAGGCAGTTCTGTTAATGAGCTAATAAAATGAAACTATTAAGCCTCTGAAGAGCACTAGGGCTATTTCTTTACATTCTCTTTTAGCTATAGATCTCATGCATCTAAGCTGAAGGATATAAGCCTTTTCAGCTGTCTCAGCTGCACATATTCATTTGTCTTAATGATAGTATTAAGGACATGAATTGATCAAGAATGAGGGCTAAGAGTTGCCTATTCTTTTCTTTGGATCATACCTTCCAAGTCACTTATCTAAAATTAGAGGTGAAAAGAAAGTCAGAAGGAGGTTCTAACCAGGCATGGCACTGAGGTTCAGAATATAAATTTGCTAATTTCAGTTACAAGAAAAGGTCAATTTCCCTTGAAATGTCTTTCCAAGCTTGGAAAGAAATTTTGGGCACTGTGCTTCCCTCACAGCAGGCACTAGGGTGCACAGAAAGCACAATGTTTCAATCACTCCAGCGGTGGCCGGTTAGTTTTCAGGCAAAGTACAAAGTGTTGGTTATTACGTTTAAAGCCCTGCATGATTTGGATTCAGATTATACACAGGGTTACCAATTGGTCAGCAAAATCTAAATCACCACCACCACCACCACCACCACCAAAATAAGCGTCCCAGACTACTAATGTCTCATTTCTGAAGGATAATGAACAGAAACAAGTAGGTTAATGTTATGGAGGTAAACAACTGCTCCAGACTAAACTGCTCTCAAAGAGGTGGCTATAGGATCACCTTCACACTCCTGAGTTAACTGAGTACAAATTATATTTGCACACTGAATTCAATTGTATGTTCAAGATAAAGTGGTAAAGTGGGAGGAGGGAAGAGAAACTGGGACATTTTTAAAGCTGCTGTAAAAATAGGACACAAAGGATTAGTAGGGATTTTCCAAGCCACACTGGAACAGTTGAAGGGTATGAGATTATTTTCAGAGATGGTATCCCAGTTACAGAATGCCTTCCCTAGAAAGGCTAGCTTAGCACTTACCCTCTGAACATTTTTGGCTTTAGCCAAAGATCATTTTATTTTCCTAGTCCCCCTTTTAGTTTTTAACCTTAAACTTTGTTGGTGATCCACAGATGTTACAACATTTTTAGAGCTTAAAATCTGTAAAATTTTGGGTGGTGCTGTGAAATTTATTGTATTTATAGGTTTTTGTGGGTTTTTCGGGCTGTGTGGCCATGTTCTAGAAGAGTTTCTTTCTGACGTTTCATCAGCATCTGTGGCTGGCATCTTTATTGTATTTGGTTTAATCTGCCACTGCCAATATTTATCTTTTCTTTATATTTTATAAATTTATTATTTTTGTCTCTCATGTGTATCAGTCCTAATTTGATTATGCTGGCTCTGAAATTCTGAAACTTGCAGTCCAAAAAAAGGTAGTTTTTTTAATTGTGCAAAATCTTGTGCCTCCATATTACTGTAGATCAGGACCAACAATATATTTTCAATATTTATCTGGATATCAATAATCCACCTCTACCATAAAATCAAAATTCTGGCCAGCTTACCAAATATATATATATATATATATATATATATATATATATATATATGCATAACAATGATCTACAACATAGCTGTAAAATAAAAAGCAACAAAAATCATAAAATATCAAGAGGAAAAAAGAGTACTAACAGACAAAAAACATACTCTCTCAAAACCCTGTTGTAATCAAAATGTTGCTTGTATGTACAGTATCCATGAATGTGAAGAAATCTGTCTGCAATATTTGCTTAACATGCCTGTGTGTGGGATGTCAAGAAAATATATGCATGTGTTCATTTATATTGTGCAAGAACTGTTAAACATGTATGCTGTTGATGGGTTGGATATACTGGGCTCTTTCTCTGCAAAGAAAGAAAAAACACTGCTACCCAGCTGGGGTTCTATTTACATACAGGTGTCATGATGCTCATCTTTAAATGCACAGCTCAATGCTGGGTTCAGATGTCAGGATATGAGGACGAGAGCAAAAGCACAGCAGTAAGGACTAGCAGTTAGTTAGAGGACCCAGAGGTCCAGGCCATTAACTCTTTCATTTGGGGCCAATTGTCACCAGGTGTCCCAGCAGCTCACTTGATTGAATGCTGTGAAATGGGATGCCAGGCTTAAAGAGTAGA